TATTACATCAAATCGAATCAACTGCAGGTGGGGAGTATATACTTCATTACAGGTCCAAATATTAATAAATTTCGAATGTGTCAAGCGCTGCAGTGGTTATTAGGAAATGAGATCGCAGTTCAAAATTTTGCAGCAAGGATAATTACTCAACGTCCCAGATCCTGAACGCCTACGCGCCCAGATCTCTATAGTGTATTTGGAAGGCGTTCAAAACATTGTGCTGAATGTGTTGTTAGAGATTTGCAGCAAAATTTATCTCACCTAAATATCTGTAATAGATTTCATTAGGGCTTCTCATTATGACAGCATGCTCAGCAAATGGAACACCAATAGAGAAAATCAGTAGTAATTACTAATTTAAACATCAATAAAAATGAGGAAAATTTTCAGTTGTAATCATTGCCACTGGGCGCTGGACTTGCATCTTTCATGGGCTCATCACTGGTCTCAGGAACGGTAGCATGATTTTCACCATTATTACCATTCTCGGTAACCGCATCAGCTTGGGATTCATTTCTGTCCGGCGAATGAGAACGAGAACGAGCACTTCCAGAACGGCTACGTGATTTCGAACCTTCACCTTCCTTCTTCGGTGTAGGCGAACGTGATTTCGAGCCGGTGCGTGAACGTGATGACCGGCTACGCGAGCTACGCGAACGCGAATTAGACCGATGATGAGAACGGGAACGACTATAAGTAAGAAAGTAATTACAAATAATATCCCTAACTTAATAAGAATTCAAAATTTATCAGAAGCATCAGATGTACACGTCACTCTTGTTATATTTTTACCTTCGACTGTCTCGTCTTTCCGAATCATCAATTAGTTTCAGCTTGCGTCCATTAACTTCTTTTCCTTGCAGCTTGTCAAGCGCCCTTTCAAGATCTTCTCGTGAAAGAAAGCATACAATCCTGAAAAACAATTATTTAGTAAGAAACGCACGAAACACTGCACGATACCAGATATTAAAAAATTTGAAACAAGGAACATATCACAGCAAAAGACATTACCCTTCATTTGGATGTTGCTTATGCGCATCTGCAAAAGTTACCTCACCAGCGGTTCGCATAATATCTTTAAGATCCTGAAAAACAATATCGTTATCAAATAGAATCAGCAATACTAAGGTGAAATATAAAGTAAATCATATACCTTTTGTTTTTAAAGAGCATAGTAAAGCATCGTCAACCACCAAACCCCTAAATCACTATATCCTCTCACTCATCGAGTGCCAAAATTGCTTCCTAAATAGATAATCTTCTCTTAGTGTATATTTTTTTGTAGACCATCCCATGTCTTCTGTTGTAGCAGTCGATCTTTCTAATCTCACATTTTTGATGCCAAATCGCACAGCAAGAAAATGCTGAAAATGAAGACATAATCTCCCGTTATGAAGGAGCTTTCAACCATCGTATGCGCTCGTCAAAAAAGGAAAAAACTACCATCCAGTAAGCTTATTTTGATAAATGTCAAACACCTTTTGTTTCAGCGATACGAAAGATCGAATTTATTTTTAGAGAACTGACCAGATCATGTTCTGATGTGGCCCTCACGATGCGGCAGTACACCACCACTAGCCTCAACCTGCGACATCAGAACGAAACGAAACAAGCACCGAAACACGAGTCCGGGCCCGAATGCACCAATAACAAGACGCCTACGCACCAACGATAAACCATTTTGAGCTGCACCAGCTCGCGACTACTTCCTGGCCAATTTGGTGCCTTCACTTCGGCCTTATCTTTATGAACAAAATTAAGTGGCCATCAAACGCGCTTTATAAGGCTATCCAAACAATGCGCGTTCGATGCAGCAGGAAAAAAAAGCTAAAAAACTAAATATTTTCCGATTTCTACTCGTCCACATATCAGGCAACGCCTCAAACAAAGGTGTCATCAGGGAGCTGAAATTTGGCCAGCCACTTTCTCTGCTCATCCATCGGATAACTATACAGGTTTCGTCGCGAGTGCGTGGTGTGTCTCCTTCCCTTTACATGTATATCACTCTCAAATAACGACGTATGCATCAGGTGATCGCAAACAACGTCCCAACATCACGTTATCTCACCTGCCACGAACAACGAGAAGAAAGGTTTTCAACAATCAATCGATAGCGTGTCTGTTGAGGTGGACCATATCTGAAAAGTCAACATTTTAGAGCTAAAAAGTCCATGTAATATGTAACCATTTAACAAAACTGGAAAAACAACACTGTAACAAGACACATTACACTAACCTTGATTCCCGTCTCGGTGGAGGAAATCGATCAAAGCCACCAAATCCCATACGACTTCGAGGTCCACGACGCGAAAACTCCAAGATCACACGTTCACCGCAAAGCTCTTTTCCATTCAACTCATATACTGCATCGTCTGCATCCCGCGGATCGTCAAATTCCTACAACTTTTTTTATGGAAAAATTTTTCCAAAGAAAAAAAACAAGTTCAAGCAATGCAAAAACAATCCTCAACCGTAATAAGAATTTCTTCCAGCTAATTTTAGCGCATTAGAGAATGTCAGAGTTTATTAGATCTCGCTATAAGAAGTACTTGTACACAGGTGGCTAAACAATTAATTTGTAGGATTTGGAGAGATGCCATCAGTTAATTTGTTGACATTATAATATCGTATATTTCCGAAGATTCCTCATTTAAAAAAGAAAAGCAAGCAATATTCGCAGTTATAGTTCATGAAAGCTGTGTTTTATAACATCAAAATTCGTCATTAATATGCTTTGGAGCCAAAAGAAAATATACAAGTAACAGTATTTACCTAAAACAGAGGTCGGGGATAATCACAAGAACAAGAAGATTATAAGTAATAAAATCTTGTCCATTCAAGGATGAGAGAATATAAAAGTCAAAAAATAAGTGTTGTGTGAAATGAACTACACAGAGTGATCTAATGTAAAACTTAGAATCTATTAACCTTAAGGTTAAACAATACCCTAGACACTACTACATCAAGATTAGACTTGCAGATGTCTTTTGACTATTAGCTTAATCAAAGTTAAGCTCCAAATAACCAAAAATGTACGTGTAAGTATGCATAAGTCTATATATTTCTGTAAAGGAAATATTAGCGTTAAAAAACAATCAGATTCCATCACATAACATGCTTTTTGCATAAAATGACATGATGAAGCCACGTATGTGCATATATGTGAACTACGCAAATATTTGCAGCGGTAATTCACCTTTTCTTGTAACTAACTGATGACTATGCAGGATAAATAGGAGAGGTATTAGAAAGAGAAGAAATGCTTCCCTTAAATTATTTTGAGTGATAATCGTTTCTTTGATTAGATGAATTGAGGAACTTAGAGAATGAAATTAGACAATTTAAGAAGCTAACAATGCTAGACACATCGAAAGTGACGATTTTTGTCACTCACAAAGCAATGATCAAAGCAGAATGTTGCTGAGATTTGTTGCTCTATAAAAAAATTCATATGAATCACTCACCACGAAACCAAAACCATTCTTCAGAACAATATCACGTATGCGTCCATAACCACGAAAGAAATGCTCGATGTCACGTTCGGACGCTCTGTAGGACAAGCGTCCCACGTAAACACGTGCGCTCATATTACTCATCCTCGTCGACAACAGTCAAAGGGTGTAACCTGCAACGGGTGCAATCAAACGCCTCACAATAAAAACCAATCCGCAACGCGACCGCGTACGCAACTCAGGCCATTTCAAATCAGGATAAGCCTACACTAACTTTGGTAATGACAGAACGAAGCGCACTAAAAAATACTTCGCAATTCGTGTAGAGGGAAAGATAAAGAGAAATATGAAAAAAATAGAGAGCAACCAGCTAGAAGAGTGTTAATTGAAGAGAACGATATTAAACCGAGTGTGTTACTCCAGACAAAAGAGAAACGTAAAACAGCGCGTGACGGACATAGACATAGAGAAGTAGGAAAATACACTCACTATGTCGGACTTTTGGTAT